TTCGCAGAAATGCGATATCAATGATCTACTTGCATTTACTAGATTGTACATTGTTACAAAGATATCTCGTTCTGCACTTGTACAAAAGTAACTTGCCTTGTACTGCAGTAACACCAGTCTTGTAAACGTTTCATATATCGGTGAAAATATTTGTATTTAATCAGAATATTTTAACATAGTTCTACGTTATACTTGTTCAATGCTGTTCCATGGATGATGCCTCAAGTTTTCTTATTATTAGTTCTAGCATAGTTAATAAACTTGAACTGGTTTGGAAACTCGGAACTTTGCGTAACAAAAACTATATCAAGTTGAAAATGCAATCACGAGACATTGACCGTGCACAACATATACATAACATAATATTCACAACATAATATACAATAGCTGTAGAAGGAGGAAACTGATAATATTTGTGATGCTTTTAGAAACTTTTGTAAAAGATCGCGAACTTGAAAATTATACTGAATCTATTTTAGAAGAGGAGTACTTTTAAAAGTTTTAAAAATTGCATAAATCTAATAAACATTTATCAACAATATAGCTGCTGAGAATGATAACAATTTTAAATTAAACTTTAACATCAAGATTTTGTTTCCACTAATAAAAAATGTGTTTTGCAAGATTATGGGAGGCTCTTTTTATGGCAATAAAATTAAATTAAAACTCTTCCTAAAATTTGTTCCAAAAGTTTAAACGAGTCTTACGTTAATTATTTTGGGAATGTAGTAATTCACAGTAAGACAATTTTAATTTGTGGTGATGAATATGAAGATTCTGCTACATTATTATTAAGCAAACTTGCAGATAGTATATCATCTTATTAGAAAAACAATATATCTATTGTTAACAATGGTCAGACATTAAATACATCTGCAATATGTGATAGGGAAAAGTATGGATTGCAAAACTTGGAGGTTATAATATTGATAAAATTTAAAACAAAATTCAAAACTCTTGAACTAATAATACTCAATTACGAAAAACATTGTCTATTTTAAAAAGCTGCAAAAATGAAACAAAAAATATGACTGACCAAAAGCTTTTCAATTGTTTTAATCGTGGTGAACTTGCATTACAATTGAGTTTGAACAAATTTTAATAATGGCAGAAAAAATTTTTTTTTTTATATACAGAACAGTCAAAACTTACTTAAAATAAAGGCAGATTTTTTGATCAAAAAAACACTCTGCGATAAAGATTTAGATAAATATTACACGGCTATTATTGAAAAATGTGATTTAAAAATTCAAAAAGATCAATCAAGATCAAAAAAAAAAAGATCAAGATCAAGTCAATATTTAAAAATTGTAAAAATTCTACTTTGATACTAGGTTTATATTTTCGAAGTTTGAAGTCATTTCTATGCTCAAGACATTGTTAATAAGCATTAAGCAAAAAAACAAAAACAGGAGAACAACCAAAAAAAGGCTTAAAATGCTGGCTTAAATTGCTTTTCACAAGCAAAGACTTTTCCAAATTTGATTTGCTTTGTAACATATAAAATACTCTATAATAAATATATACAAAACTGTGAAAAGCTGATAAAGCCTTGAGTCTACTGTTACTAGACTCTAATCCAGTAATATTTTAAATGCTTTAAAAATATTTTACATTGTTTATAAATATATAGAAAATAAAACAAAGCATCTTGTATTTGTAAAATATAATGAACTAAAATAGTAATTTTTCTTTCGTAAATATTTGTAAATCACCTGTTTAAATATTATCTGACTTGAAGTACATCTCCAGACTATCAACGAGTTTATACAACAGTATTCGGTTATTTAATTTGCTCATTAATCTTAATGAGTAAACGAACTAAATGAATTTCTAATTTATACTCTAATAAAGCAAAAACGTGTTCGTTTCTTGCTTACGATCCGTAATTAATTAAACATTTTATTATCTCTAACAATGCTCTCTTTAAAAAATAGTGTAGAATCTATACTAACAATATTACTTCATTTTCAAGAGTTGGTTTAATGAACTTTATTCAAAAATCACAATATGTTACAAGCGTTATACAACGTTAATGAGTTTGTGTGCACGGTCACGCTTGATTTACGCTCTATTTTTGTGTCAATAAGTTAAACAATGAATTTTACGGAGTTTCCAAACCATTTAAAGTCTATTAACCATGGTTCTAGATGACGGCTTAAAGAAGCTTTAAATCAATTTACATCACCATTTTTATTTATTTACTAGAGCCTCGACAAAAATCTAGACATTTCTTCTCAAGCATGAGAACATGTTAAAATGTTAGTGCTCTTATCATAATAGGACTTAACCTATATCTCATTTTTGCAGAAACAATATTAAAGAAGTTCTTGCTGTTTTTTTACTGAAAAAACTTTTTCAGAACTGTTTCTATTATATGGAGTACATTGTAATAATACTAGTTTATGGATAATAATACTAGTAATAATAAGACTAGTATACGTATATAATATATAATAATAATACTAGTAATAATAATAATAGTAATAGTACTATTAATAATAATAAAAATAATAGTAATAGTAGTATATGGATGGATAATACTAGTATATGGAATACATTGCAATTCAAGCCGTTTGGTGATATTCGAATTTAATTTGCTCTTCTTTCAGATAAAGATTTTGTTAAAATAATTTAAACTGGGTTCATACTTTGTTAAAATACTTCAAACTAGGTTCACATTATTGGGTTTTCAGTCAATATTTAGCGTTGACGCTTCACAATTTCTCAAAATGCTTCTGAAATAAAAAAAACTTGTTTATAACCATATTATATATAAGGAATTTGATTTTTTTTCATATATATATATTAGGTATGTCCAAAAAAAAAAATTTTTGAATTCAACCTAGCACAGTATCTCATTTTGTTCCTTTGATGGAAACTAACTTTTATGCAAATTTTGGCATTTATATTTTGATATTTACAAGTTGCTCAATGGAGGTGAAGTTTAACAGTACAGATAAACTTGCCGCGGCTGCACTTTTTTGACTGAAATCTTCAAACTAGAATCACAAGATGATAAAATGTGATAGATACATTACTATTCATTTCAAAAAGACATACTGGTTATGACACAGACAGTGCAGACACAATCAGTCACACATTAACAATTTTTAATTTATCAAAATTAATATCAAAGAAATTAACAGCAATTTTTAAACATGTTCGTTCAGATTTTTATTGCATGCTCATTTATTGTTCACGTGTTCAAAGTTCAACTTATTTCAGTTTTCGAGCTTGCGACGTCTACCGAGGGGCATATGCCATCAGGGTGCTTTTCCGGTAATCTGGAATGCGCTTCCTGTTGTCCTCAACAACTTGGAGGAGTTTCTGCATTTCAGACTCTGTCTTTGTTATTGACTGGTTTAAAGAACTCATCAGTGCAATAGAGCGCTCGGCAGTATCATTGATAACCTTGAGAGAAGCAACAACAGCTTTGGTTTTTCGAAATGAAGCACTTTCTTCCCAACTCGGGGGCTCAAGTCCTGACAAGGTAGTTATGTCAAGTCCAAGTGACTGCAATGCAGCTGTTGATGATGATGTTACCAGTTCATGTAGTTGCTTTTTCTCCAACTCATTACATTTTGATACTGGAAACTTGTTTCCCCTGACACTCCAATCATCTCCACTGAGGATCATGGCTTCCGCAATCAACTTCTTTTCTTCATCAGATACTTTGCTGGAGAACAGTGAAAGAGGAACCATTTCTGTTCCAAGATACCACATGTGATTCTGCAATTTCTTCAAAGCTGCTTGTGAAACAATCTTGTGTACCTCAGCATATCTTTTTATTCTCTGAAACAGCATCAAATCATTCAATGGTGCATCACTTGCCACTGGACAAGCAATCCAAGCTGGTACATAAATGTGAGCTGCAAAAATGCAAAATTCAGACAGGTTTTTCACCTCAGTTGAAGTCAGTTTGAATTCATTCCTGAACAGGAAAATCTTCATGCAATATATGACCTTTGCCATCCATCTTGCCATATGGTAGGCACCCGGCTGTCTGAAATGATATGGCTTTCCACCAGCTGGATGGCTTGGTAGTGTGAAACCCAATATCAAGAGGCAAAGTTCAATCATTTCCTTGTAGTCCTCTCGTGGTAGATATGACGTTTGACCTGACAGAAAAGACAGCAAGAAAAGACCAAATTCTGCTCTGAGTTGTTGCAGCTGTGGAACTGTAAGTCGCGTATCATCAAGTGGAACAAAGTTCATTTGGTCAATAGTTGGCCAAGACTGCTGAAAACGTTCAAATAGAGCAATGTTTGGGCCACGGCTTGGGCCAAGCAAAACTGTGAACACTTCACCAATAATCACTTCATGCACGTGGTGTCGACAAGCTAAGTATAGAAGGTTTCTCCCAATTAGTTGTTCCAGCAAGACACATGCACCATTTTTGGAGCCCGTATTCGAAGCTGTGGTGTCAAAGCACATGCCAACGATTTCACTATCAACATCCCATATTTTGGCCAACTGGAATGTTGCCTTGGCTTATGCTACCCCAGTGCCCGCTGGAAGCTTGACAATTCCCAAGATTTTCTCCAAATCTACACCAGTCACACTAACACCAATTCTGTCAACATTGGACTTTGGATCCTCTAAGTTCGTGCTGTCTCGCATGATTTTACCGTCCCAGTGGACCACCAGAGGCGGTTTTTCACTGGAGAGAAACTCCTGCCGAATACAATTTTCTGTTGAAGATCGGTGTTCAATACGTTTGCGACGTACTGTTGATCTTGACAATGGCGTGCTTTGTAGGTCCTGTCCACTGGCTTTAGCAATTGCTGCTGCCAAAATTGTAAACTTCTGGTCAGATAAATTTATGCGATCAAGTGTTGATGAAACATCTGGTGACGACAGAATGTTCTCCAAAATGCGTGGTCTTTTGTTAACTGTAGTCCATTCATGTCCAGCATCCACTACCTCACATAGCTGCTTCTTGTGATATACTGGTATCTCAATTTCGTAATCATCATCTTCAATATCCTCCTCTTCTGCTCCGTCACTGTCGCTTTCAAGACCATGATTGTGATGGCTGCTTCTGGCACATTGCATCTCTCCTTTCTTCCTCACGCTGTTTCCTTTCAGCTTCAGCCTGTCGACGCTGTGCTGCTCGCTCTTCTTGTTGTGATAATCTTACATCTTCTCCACTCATCTTCATCATGCGAGCATTCCGCTGATCCTCCAAAAACAGCTTGTCTTCATCGATTTTGATTAATGTACCTGTATCTTTGTGAGCAATATCAAAGAGTAGATTCAGTTTGTCTTTAAATGCTTTTTCTCTAGCTAGCTGTGATTCACTTTCTCTTCCTTTATTCTTCTTGATCAAACTGTATTCATCAAAGCATACCTTCACCTTTGACACGATATGTGGTTGATAGGTCATTGGTATCCGTGCCTTGCTCCAAATTTTTACCAAATCAGATGAGGTTGACTTTGCACTGGCAGATACTGTCTGTTTTATTGTTTTGTGGTAATGGAAAAATGTACGAAGAACATCGCCCGTTGTCGGAAGGACATTACTCGGTAGGTCCTTTTCAGGTTGACCAATCAGCCAAACAGCAGTTCGAGTGCGTGTCAGTGGTACAGCGTTTGACTTTGCAGCCATTTTCAGCAACAGTCTAAAATTAAGATAGAAGCATTTTAGAATTAATAACAAGATAGGCCTATTAATTCAATGAATTCATATAAAAATGATTTATTAGAATATATTTTATTATTTTTATAATGGATTCGGATTGTCACAAATAAAGTTTGAAACCCTACTAATGGTTCAACACAGCATTAAGCAGGTTGTCTATAGTTCCTACAACTGTTTAATAGAATGATCAAATAAATATAAAATCAGCACAAAGTAAGAAACTAATTGAAACTATTATAATTACCTTTATTGAGAGTTTACATCAATGTATTAAATAAATTCTGTATAAATTCACAAGTTTGCTGAAATAATTCTCATTTGCTACATTGACAATGACATCATCATAGAATATCTAAATTCTAAAAACACTAAATAAATAAGTAATGCAAATGCAATGGTGCTTTACAGTCAGTAATGTGGACATCCCTAATATATATAATAAATAAGTATACTAAATAAATAAGTAATCCCTAATATATATAATAAATAAATATACTAAATAAATAAGTAATGCAAATGCAATGGTGCTTTACAGTCAGTATATGTGGACATCCCTAATATATATATATATATATATATATATATATATATATATATATATATATATATATATATATATATATATATATATATATATATATATATATATATATATATATATATATATATATATATAATCAAAATTAGATTATCAAAATTGGACACAGGTCCAGTGCAAAGTTCAAGTTTAAATAGATGAAGAGGGGACACAATTAAAATTTTTACTGACAAAGTCTAAAAGTAACTAATAAAATTTTAAAACTATATTTACTAAGCTTACTAATGTTTAAGGTACACAGAAAAAATTAAATTTAGGATTAATCCAAGACTTGAGTAGTTTTGATTTTTAGTAATCTTGCTAATAAAAATTTGTCGTTTTATTTACGACTCTTTCACAGTATTCTCGCCTGGGAAATTTTGCTTTTGGCATCATGATTTTGGGTTTCTAACCAATGGATTTTGGAAATCTAACTAAAATGAATTTGTCGTTTTATATAGGATTTTTACAAATTAGCCTTGCCCGAAATCACAGGGTCTGTGTACTGGTTGAAACACTTTAATCGTAATAGCCTGAGGGAAACGAAGAAAATTAAACTAGTAAGTTTAAGTGTTAGTATCAGATTATCAAAATTATTGAAAACATGTCCAGTGCAAAAATTAAGTTTATATAGAAAAGGAAATCATTATTTCTTATGACTGTCGATCTATAACTATCTAAGTCTACTCTTTTTTAAGTGATATCTCGCGAAAAATTCAAGCAAAAAGAACAACATCTTGGCAAGGTTCCGTGTTTTAGGAAATTTAAGTGAGCCAAAATGAGTCTGTATAGTGTATTGCCTGTTGTAAATAACACTAAGTGTCTATGGTGTAACTTGCAGAAGTGCATCATTGCAGGCGTTGTTATCACTATCGCTACTTCTGTAGAGTTGCAGATTAAGATACCTGATAGTGTAGAAGTGTAGATGTCAAAGTAGTATCAACGGTGTCCATTTTGTTCCAGATTATTAGCTAGCCATCTTAACTGTTGTATCCGTTTGTTAAACTTTGCTTGATCCCTTCTGAACCCGAGTATGAGTATTTTAAGATTAGGAACGGAGCGCAACCATTGCTTACAAAAAAGAACACCAATTTCAAAGTCACCGTGTCCGTTGTAATGTTGTTCCAGAATCTTAGCTGGACAAATAATGGCTATCTGTACAATGGATAAAAGCAAATTCTATTTGTTTGTTTGTAGATATAGTGTCTCTCCAAGATGATGGTTTTTCGTATATGGCATTGCCAATCCTTCCGTCGTAGCTTCATTTAGGTATGGTAACTTTAGATGTGGTTCCTGGTAAGATATAGTATCAATATCAGTTACCTAAAATTATCTAGAATTGGCTAGAAGTTAACAAAGAATTAAAAAAAAAAAATTTCTGTCTACAACTGTTTTAATATATATCTTAAGTATATAACCGCGAATCAAGCAATTCTTCAGAGACTAGTGGTTTTTATAAGCTTGAAGAGGCATTTGTGGAAAAACCCTTTTGAGAAACGGATCGTGTTCCACAATTTTCTAGTGTTTCGCTATGAAACTATACAACTATTTTCCTATAGGGTCATTGTGTAACAGTATTCTAAGGTATTCTTTTAGCACTTTCGATGGACTATATTGACCTATTGACAAGCTTTTCTTGGCTATGGTTTAAGGCTTTTTGTATTTGGAAGTTGATCACTAATAACGGGTAACCTTTTCTGGCTAAGACTTCCGGTTCCTTTTTAAGGTCGTCATCTTTTTAATGTCTTGGATAGCTAGGCACGAAATATAACAGGTTCATGGTGTCCGTCGGCTTCCTGTATAGTTTGGTACGTAGTACTCCCCTCGAATCCTTTGAGACTGAAATCTAGGAAGTCAATTGTGCATGTCGAGCTCTTAAAAGTAAATCTTATGCTGTTGTGAAGACCATTCGTGAAAATTTGAATTCTCTCAAGTTCTTCCGCCGTCCCATTAAAAATAAAAAAGAGATCAACAATTAATCTTTTATAGAACTTGATGTTGTTTGGGAAGTTGTTTGTAATTTCTGTGTCTAAAATTCCTATAAACAAATTGGCATACAGTGGTGCTATTCTTGAGCCCATGGCTGTTCCATACCTCTGGTGAAAGTAATGTTCGCCAAACTGGAAGGCGCTTTTTTTAGGATAATACGTACAATGAGGGTGAAGTAGGACGTAGGTGAAATGAGTGGCAGGTCAAAAGGGAACTTGCGGTCGGAATTCTGTTGGAGATGATATCTCACCGCCTCTATACCATATTCATAAGGAATATTGGTGTACAGTTAGGTGACATCCACTGTTACCAATAGATAATCCCCCGTAGACATATGTACCTGTTTTAGTAATTGTATTAGGTGGGTGCTATCCCTAAGATAGGCTTTTACTGTTGCCGCTAAACTCTGTAAAAATTAGTCTTCAAAAGGTCTACTATGTCATGTACTTCATTGATAATACGTGCCATAGAGTTGTATGTTAGCCATTTGTATGTAACGTGGTCTTCGAGTAGGTCCAATATTTTTCTTTCATAAACCTCCCTATCCATAATATATACTGCCCCTCCCTTGTCGGTTTCCTTGATGACAATATCACTTTTTCTCTCTATACGTTTGATTGCCCTTAAATCACATTGGCTGAGATTTAGCCTATCTTTTTCCGTTCTATCATTTAGAATTTGTGCCACTTTGATCTCGAAGATTTTAAAGAGCCGTTTGATCTTTTGTTTGTGAGGGGTTCCATGTAGAGTTTGGTTTTCTAAACTCGACACCCCTTCTGTCCCTTTCATCTTTGATTTGTGCGAAGAACAGTTTGCAGTTTATTCTCCTCTTTAACTTTACTATTTGGCCAATATATCTTTCCTGAGAAGTGGATTGTGATGCAAATATGAATTTTAAACCCCTAGAGATGGCGTAGATTTCTGTAGCGGAAAGTGTCTGCTTAGACAAGTTAATTATCGATTTGCCAATAAGTTGCTGTCTAAACCTAAGCTTCTCTTTGTTCAGCAGATGTTTTTATCTATTATTCAATGCAGAAAGCCAGTTTGACATAAACAAGTTTTTTACGGAGAATGGTGTAACTAGCTTCTCCTCGTTGGTATAGGACAGTTTATTGTTGTTGATACTGTTGTTCGATTAAGGAAATTTACTCTAAAAAAGTGTCTGTGTGTGAGTAAGATGCCTATAACTAATCACCATATGTAGAAATAATAATAAGAGGAGAAAGCATGTGACTTTTAAGACTATGATTTAGAGGGAGCACATTCAATCAATGGGAATTTGTTGTTCTATTCAAGAATGTTTGTTTCTAACATTAGGACTTCGAAATAGTCATCTCCTGAGAAATTTCACCTATTACATCATATTTCTGGGTTAATAAATCTGGCTAACCGGAATGTGTCGTTTTATTTAGGATTATTCCTAGTCATCTTTCCTAGAAAATGCCAATCTTATTACTATTTTTAGAATTCTAGCCAATTAAAATTTCCCGTTATGTTTCAAAACTACTCTGTAGTCATCTCCCCCATGCGAATTCAATTTAACTACACTATTTTTGAGGTTAAGTAATCAAGTTGATAGAAATTTGTTGTTTTATCCAAGACACCTCCACAGTAATCTTGTTTTAAATGGCATCTCGCTTAAAAAGTTACACTTTTGAGAGCATAATTATGGATCAAAAAATCTAACCAAAAAAATTTTTTTTTTGTCGTTTTTTTCTGAACGATAGCTTCCTCAAAGTAGTCTTGCCTTAGTGATTTCACTTTTATTATCACGTTCGTGAGGTTGATTAAACTGACCAATAGGAATATATCGTTTCCTTGCGACTACTCCACAGTGATCTCGTCAAAGAAATTTCAATATCGTATGTTTTGAGTGTCCTTCATGGTAGTCTCGCCTAAGAATGTTTCTTTTTTAATATCACAGTTTTGGGCGGATGTAATCTAGCCCATAGGAGTGTGTTGTCTTACTTATTGTGTCTTTAAGACACAATAATCTCGCCCTAAAAAATTTCACATTTGGCATCATGATTTCGTGTTTAGAAATGTAACTAATATGAATTTGTCGTTTTATATAAGCTATTTACATAGTAGTCTCGCCTAAATTATTTTACTTTAACGAACACGTAGTAATCTTGCCTAAGAAGTTGATTATAGGTATCTTGATTTCAGGTTTTACGTTTATTCCAGATTTTACGTTTTATTCCAGACTCTGTCTTCTTGCCCGCATAATTTTAATTTAAGAAGTCTAAACAGTATATGTTTGTGGTTTTATTTACGACTTTTCCATAGTGATGTCGCCTAGAAAATTTCATTTGGATTGTCACGGTTTTAAGCTTAAGTAATCTAGCCAATATTTTTCATTATGATTTTGGGTTTATAAATCTTACCAATATGAATTTGTCGTTTTAATCAATCTTTTTAATCATCGTTTTAATCAATCTTTTCATCATGATTTTAGGTTCTAGAAACTAGCCAATAAAAATTTATTATTTAGCGGGGTTGACGTTTGTACCGACCCAAGTGTTTCAAATGTAAACTATATTAATAGCAGTTGTCAGGGTAAGTAAAGTCTTACAGTAATAGAGACTGCTTATCAAATACTTATAAAGACAAAAAAGTTGTATATGTTTTAAACATGGCCGAGGTAGAATTCGAACCCCACTCCGTAAGTATATGTTAGCGTGTAAGGTGGATCGCTATCCGTTTGGACTACATGACTTATTTTATAGGTGAAACAATTTAAGTATTTATTAAATTAAAAAATTAAACTACGCAGCATGGATGCGTGAAAGTTACAGTGGTATCATAGTACCTTTTTACACAACTACATCTCATAAACAAA